TTGCATAAATGTCGTTTTGAGAATACTAATTACTGGTGGTCTCCCAGTGGTCGAAATTCGAACATAATTAATTTAAATGTTAAGTTTGAACATTATTAAGGTTGTATTGTCAAATACTATACTTCTATTTTGTCTTTTAATATTAAAATCATCTAAAAACCTCAATTGCGAAGCCCACGGCCAAGACTTATACTTTTTATGAGCCTGGCCTGTAGAAGATTCATTATTTTTCTTGTACTTGTTGTAGTTATCCCTCAGACTCTTCACTTGGCTATCCATAATTTACCTAAAAAAAAAAAATTTTACAGGTTTCTTGCTACAGGAGATACGTTTAAAACAATCGGCCATTCATATAGGATGGGATTTACAACTGTTGGTAAAATAGTGAAGGAAGTAAGTAAAGTAATATGGAAAACTTAACGAAGTGACACTACATTACTATTTAAAAATGTGTTTATTGCTTTTCGAAGTATTCTCCGCGAAATTTGACACATTTTTCCATACGATGGAACCAATCATTGAAGCAACCATTCCATTCGGAAGTTGGGGTCTCCAAAATGGCCGTTTTGTAGGCGTCCACGGCTTCTTCAGGTGATGAAAATCTCTGTCCACGCAATTTATTTTTTATTTTAGGGAAAGTATAGAAATCATTAGGGCTTAGGTCGGGGCTGTACGGCGGGTGGTCTAATAATTCTATGTTTTCTTGCTCTAAAAACTCTTTTGTTCTGTGCGCGGTGTGAGAACTCGCATTGTCGTGATGGAGGATGATGCGGCGGTTGCAGTTCTCTTTACGGAGTTCAGAAACGACCTGTGGCAAACAAANTAATAATTCTATGTTTTCTTGCTCTAAAAACTCTTTTGTTCTGTGCGCGGTGTGAGAACTCGCATTGTCGTGATGGAGGATGATGCGGCGGTTGCAGTTCTCTTTACGGAGTTCAGAAACGACCTGTGGCAAACAAATGCTAGCATACCATTCTGCATTAACCGTTCTTTGTCCCTCAAGAGGAATAGTCGTAACATGGCCGGTTTTGCAGACAAACGTGGCCACCATTTTTTTTGCAACACTCCGTGAACGAACAATTTTTGTTGGCTTTAACTCATTTTCGAACACCCAAACTTGTGACTGGTTTTTTGTTTCGGGTTCGTACGCGTATATCCAGTATTCGTCACCTGATACAATGTTGTATACAGCATTTGAGAATGCTGCGTGGAATCTTTCGAGAGTTCTGACGCACCAAGTAACGCGGGCCGCTTTTTGCTCTTCACAGAGCGAATGCGGTATCCATCGGGAAAACAACTTTTTTACACCTATACTTTTAGTGCAGCGAAACTATCGTCGCTAACCTGCTCTTCATCGTCCTCATCATCTTCATCACAACATTGAGAGAATTCAGTTTCCACACTCGAACATTCAAAGTCATCCAGACTACTGTCGGCACTAAAACTACGGCCTCTTTTAGCCCGAGAACCCGAAGTTAATACGCTACCAGAGCGTTTAGAAGGACCTGGCTCGTCAGTCATTTTACTAGAAAAAGGTCTATTTTTCAAACGACTGTATTTTACAAACTAATCGTGTGAACCCCGATCCAACGCTTGATTTTAAAAGACCGTTACTTTACGCGTGTGGCCACGTGCGTCACGTACGGTTATCGCAACGGCCGGAACGATACTGATGCATAGAAAAATGATACATAGAAAAATGATGCATAGAAAAAACACAGTCGCAAGCCACGGCGCCGTGTGACCGGCTTCCCGCCCCTCCACGGCGCCGTGTACTCGGCCATATACATCTCCACGGCACCGTGTAGTTGGCATTAAATTTGTTAAAAATACTTGCCTTGCGGCGAGCCCCAATTTCTCGGATCTCAGCGGTTCTATTGAACACAGGTGGCGATGCGCCGCAATTACTACAGGACAAAGAAAAAACACGGCAAAACAGAAATAACAAAAAGAAACGAAACAAATAAAAACTTCCAGGAAAAACACTTGGTCCGCAGATGTACCACGAACACAGGCCGCGCGAACAATGGCCGGGCTAACAAAAGCCGGGCGAACAAAGGCCGAGCGATCGAATGGTCGATGAGCACGTCCGCACGTGACGGGTGCTTCTATCGGAATGACGCCATCTCGTGGTACAATTTTCAATTAAAGTTCCACGTGATCCATGAGGGATAACGGGTAAAATTTGCCGAAAATCACCACATAAAAGTATCGTTTTTCCTGGTTTACGTTTATCATTTTCATCACATAGATCCATTTTCAAAACTTGCAATGGGCACGTAGAAACTTCACCAATAATTATCAACGATGATGAATGTATGTCCTTGGACCATAGCTACTATTTGCAGTAATATTTACTACAGAATTTTCTAAAATGGATGTGGCGTTCTCTACACAGCGGCAGACATGCAAATATCGTATGGTGTAATGCGCACAAACAAACCTTGTGCCTTCTTATACAATACAACTGTTAAGCTGTTGGTGGAGTGTTTTATTTCGGGATATATTGTGGAACAAGCCGGGACAACTCCGTTTGTAACCGTACTTGTCGAACTCGACAAAGAGGTCGACGTGCAACCCATGCATCAGCCCGCTGAGTTTCTCGCCGGATCTTTTCAGCGGGTCGCGATTCCGATCCGGTAGTAGATTCATTCGCGGAGCAATTGCTCTTGAGTTGTTAGGTCTCCTTGGAGGCGCTCGGGCAGTTGTTAGCAAATCCCACCCCTCCTGGCTGAGCCTTTGCTCGCCCACCTGTCCTGGTGAAACTGGAAAGGCCTTCGGGCTACCAGTGATCTTTCAATCATAAAAAAAAAGAAAAAAAAAAGAAGTTTTTTGGGCGCGTAAACGTGAAAAAATTAAGGCGCACTGAATTTTAAAATTTGTTTTAAATATTTTTAACATAGTAATTTAGTGTATTGTTTTGTAAAATAATTTCATAGTATATGGTGGATAAGTTTGTATAAATAATTCGTTATGAGGAGAAGCGGGAAAAGGAAAAAAAAGAGGAAGGAAGATGAGAGCGAAACGGACGAAGGGGAAGAAAATTGTTTCTTTTCCAATACTTCGGACTCAGAAAAGAGCGTATGTATCTTTCTCAATGTATTTGCAAACACGGCGTCTCAGGTGTTTTACATTTGAGAACAATCAATAAATTTAAAGTTGGTATTACTTTTGACCTGGCCAATAACGCAAATGTTTTTTTGCAAAATAAGAAGCTATTAGACGAGCTTCGGTTAAAAGCAAGCATACCGGCCTCCGATACTGAAATTACTGGAGTGTTAACTTCAGTACCAGTAGGATTATCAAATAAAAAAATTTCAACTTCAATAGGTAGCTCTCGAAATATTATTCGGGTTCGTAGGTTTATGCGTAGGGTCAAGAATGACAACGGGTTAGTCACATTTCAACCAACACAGACAGTGGCAGTGACATTTGCTTTTACACAACTCCCACAGTACGTATACTTGGATTCTTGGCGACATGAGGTATCTCAGTATATTCCCCAAATAAAACTATGTCTAAGATGTTTGAAGTATGGTCACATAGCTAAATACTGTAAAATGCACAAGTGTGCTCAATATGCACGAAAAATCATAACTTTAAATCATGCACAGTGGAAACAATCAATGCCAAATGCGTAAACTGTGGTGGGAACCACGTTGCCATCTCATCTCAATGTCCTATTAAAAAGAAGAAAGTAGAAGAAAATAAAATAAAGTCTAAAACTGTTACTTATGCAAATATATTTGACGAAAAATCTTTTCCACAACTTACGAACAGACATATAGAAACTCAATTACAAAACTTAACTAAGTCCGAAATCTTTATGAATCTTCTAACAATCAATTCTTAAAGTAATTCATGATCAAAAAAATTATATACCAATTAACACTGGTTCCATACGTAACATCCTGCTTGAAACTTTCAGTCAAAATATCTTATTTCCTTCTTAATGGATCATTTGAATATACAATGGAACTCACAAAGTATTCTTTGCAATAGATTATACGAGCAAGATTATTCATTTAGCAATTATATGTGAAACTTGGCTTCGTCCAGAAACCGTTTTCAAAATTAAAGGTTTTAACGTTGTTAGACATGATTCAGGCAATAAGCACAATGGAGTGGCCATTTTAATCAAAGATACTATTCAGTACAAGCATTTGCCAACTTTTTCAGACAATGGTCTCCAAAATATATGTGTGACATTTTTTTTTTACTAACAAAGAATTAAGTTTAATTAGTTGTTACTGTCCTACTTACAGATATCCCAGATTCGATAAAACTAAATTTGATAATCTCATAAAATCTATTCCACATCCTTTTATTTTGGCCGATGATTTCAATGCTCACAATACATCTTGGGGTTGTAATTCAACATCACGTCGTGGTAGAGAGATTTTAGACGTCATCAATGATAATTGTCTAGTTCTGTTGAATGATGGGCAGGTTACTACTGTTGCATCTTCATCATGGCGTCCAAATGCATTAAGACCTTACAATAGTTTCTCCAGAACTTGCCATGTCTTGTGAATGGTCTGTATATAACGATCCTCTCGGCAGCTATCATCTTCGAGTAATAATTAAATTCCATTTAACAACTGCAACTGATATCCACAACACACTTCATACAACTCTTCCTGTTTGTCCAAATTACAAATGTGACGACTGGAATTCTTATAAAAATAGTGTAGATTGTGAAGACCAACCTTCAAAAAATAAATTTCAGCCAATATTCATCTTTAGAAAGTTACGATATATTCTGTAAATTATTGGTTGATTCAGCTCAGGCTTGTAGTGGCGTTTCTCGTAGTAGTAAAAAATATATCATCTCGTAAAGGTCGTATTCCACGACCTAGACTGCCGTGGTGGAATTTCAAATGCTTTGATGCTGTTGTAAAATCTAAAGAGGCAAATGTGAAATTTAAAAATTGTCTATCACAAGAAAATTACATAAACTTTAAAAAACAACAAGCTTTTAAAAAACTTACATTAAAAATAGAAAAACATAACAGTTGGGTCCGTCTTTGTGAATCATTCAATCGCTCAACACAATTGACTTTGATCTGGAAACATATGAGGAAATTTTGTAAAATTTATAATTCAAAAGGAGAGCAAGATGGTTGGGTTTTGGAGTTTCTTGAAAAATACAGTTCTGTTTATCAAAATCAGCTACAAATTGAAAATGTTTTGTCAATTAATAACAACAGTTTTTATGTGATTCTTTTACTTTGCAAGAGTTGAAATCTGCAGTCGCTTCTCGTAAAAATACAGCATTCGGTTTTGATGGTATTCCATACATTTTGTTTAAAAACCTCAGTGATTCCGAGAAAAATATTGTTGATTCTGAATGAATTGTGGTTAAATATTGAAATCCCAACAGACTGGAAAATTGACATTTTAGTACCTGTATTAAAACCTCAAAAACCTAAATACAATGCTAATTCTTATCGCCCAATAACTCTCACTTCATGCGTGGGTAAACTTTTTGAACAGTTGTTAAAACAAAGATTGGAATTTTTTGTTGAAAAATATAATTTAATATCTGACAATCAGTATGGTTTTCGTAAAGGTAAATCTGCACATGAAAGCTTCTGTCAATTGCCTTTAGATATTTGTAATAGTGTTGTAAATAGAGATTGTCTTGTTGCTGTATATTTTGATATTTCTGGAGCATTACCAGTTTTGATATTGATGTCCTCTTCAAAGAACTGTGTGGTTTAGGTGTACCTGTAAAAATTGTAAACTGGGTTCATAATTTCTTACTAAATAGAAAGGTTTATGCTAAATATAATGGTAAAATTTATGGTCCTATGTCTTCTTCAACAGGTGTTTGTCAAGGAGGAATATTGTCACCCCTGTTATTTCTTTTGTATATACACAGATTAAATGAAATATTAGGCACTAATACAAAAAACTTACAGTTTGCAGATGATTTAGTAATATAGGCTAGTGGGAAAAATATCCAGCAAGTGATTGCTGATATAAATTTAACTTTAACAAAGTTACATGAATATTTTAGTTACTTAAAGCTTGAAGTTAATGCGGCCAAATCAAAAGTTTTGGTTTTTGGTAAACATTCTTCTATTCCTCCTGTAGTATACAACAACTTACCATTGGTTCTGTCATTAGAGGCTAAGTTTCTTGGTGTTTTATTCACCACTTCATTATCCTGGAATGAATATGTAGAATTAATTATTGCAAGAGCCAATAGATCTTTGAATATATTAAAGAGTTTGTCAAAAATCAGTTGGGGAGCAGACCCTAAAATACTGCTGATGTTGTACAAATCATTGGTCAGAAGTCATTTTGAATATGGTCTGTTTTGGTTCAGTCCATAAACTTGTTGATAAACTTGATAAAATACAAAACAATGCTTTACGCTTAATTACTGGTGCATTTAAAACCACACCTATTAATGCAATGCAATTAGAGTGTAATTTACCACCAATCAAAATCAGATTAGAGCACCTAAAGGAAGATTCATTTTAAAAATATTTACAAATAAAAACAATACATTACTTATTTATTTGTCATCTGCTTCTTCAACTTTCTTCAATAAATAATGTCCATTTGTTCTTGAAAATATATCTGGGTTTCTTCAATTTCTCCATGATGCGAAATTCAGCGAAATGAATCCCATTTTCCTTGTTATCAAGGTGAATTTGAAAGTAAATACCCTGATATAAATATAGTAATAGATTCTGAATTACATAGAAAAGAACAAGTATATGAGAAATTTTTTTCTTGGCGAGATCATAGATTCATTTATACAGATGGGGCTAAAAATGATATATGCACATCTTTTGCTGTTTATGATAGTTTCCTGAAAGATGGACTTGGATATAAACTTGATAACAACTTGAGCATATATTCTGCTGAAGCTGTTGCAGTTCTGTCTGCATTGCAACATATAGATAAGCATAAAAATACTTGTTCAAAGTGGGTTATTGCCACTGATTGTATGAGCCTATTAAAAAGTCTTGAAAATAATGTAAATAAAACAAATGTAAATTATTTAGTGTATAGTATAAAACAACTTTTGTATTATTTGAATGTAGTTTGTCATGTAAATATTGTACTAGTTTGGGTTCCATCCCACATTGGCATATTGGGCAATGAAAAAGCTGACCATTTAGCAACCATGATAACAAATTATAGTGCGGGTTCTGTCCCATATTTTGAAGTTGGAATTCCTTTCACAGATATTCATAGTTGTCTTAAAAAAGGAATGTGTGATAACTGGAAGAAACATTGGGATCATTCTACTCAAGTCTTATCTAAGGGTACTTGGTAGTCTTTTGAATTCCGAAGTAAATAAAAGACCTTGGTTTTGTAAAGGAGAATATGTAAATAGAAAGTTTTATTCTATTTTATGTTTGATCATTGTCGTCTGAATTACCATCTATATCGTATGAGAATGATTCTCAGTGACTTGTGTGATCGTTGTGGAAATGCTGAACAACAATCTATAAACCATATTCGATTTTCTTGCCCATCCTTTAACATTTAGCGCCTTGTGTTAATGGATGAGTTACAGGACGTTTATGGATCTTCAAATTTGGTACCGCGCTGCATACAAGATCTATTGAAGAATGAGTCTACATACCAGTATATTTGTAATTTTTTTGTTAATACTGGAATAGAATTATAATTTACTTTGGTGATCTGAATTTTTTTAAATTCAATTTGACATATGTCAGTAGATTTTCAAAAAAAAGATTACAGGACTTGACGTACCAACTAAGAATAATAATGACTGAAAACACTCCCGGATTATGAAAAATGAAAATGTAGAAAATGAAATAATATACGGAAGACAATACATTGTTACTTAAAAACCTAAGACTAATTTTACGAAAGACGAGGATGTAAGGACTCAGTCCATTGCCTGCTTGCAAGAGCAAAATATTTAAAAAAAAACAACCCCGTTTCCCTGCTACACGGACCACCACAATGGGCGTAGGCAATTTAAACACATTTACCATTCACTTTTGAAGATGAAATCATATTTCGTTGAAAAAGTGGCTCACCATCAACTGTATTAAATATTATTGCTACATCAGTTTGAGCTGCATCATTGAAACGCCGGAGATCTAAATCATGATTTACGTTAATGAGCATACAAATTTCTTTATTTTGATTTTCAACTTTTTGACAATGATTTTTGTTGATCGAACAAAAGGATTACGCCGTTCTAATTGGAGAGAAAATTCAGGCATTATGTTGTATTGGTACATGTTTGATTAAAATGTTCTTGTAATCTACAATTGATAGCAGTGATCAGATCATAAAAATATAATTTGCACATAACACAGTGAGCGACCATATGTAGCAGTCATTGGACCCGATCTGTGGTAAAAAAAACATCATATATTGTATTGGAGACGTAGGTTCCCAGCTCAGTAGTTGTGTTTCAGCCAGTTATCTTCGCGACACACACACACTAGGTATGGACAAACCAATCGATCCCTGGTCGGGGATGGATACGGAGCTTGGTCAGCAAGGTGTCCTAGAGGTCCCCGATGTACGTCTAGGATTCAAAAATGAGTAAATGCACATACGCACCTGGGTCTGCCATACGGAGCTCCTGGACGCGTGCACTGTTCTAGATTCACTAGGCCTTTTGTTTTTATTATAATTGAACTTCACCCGCGGTCGTCGAATTCGGTTATGTTTTAAATATTATAGATTTGGTTGCGTGTTACTCGGCTCCCATTCGTAATTGATGTGTTGTGCATGCGATGTAGCTTCGCTGTCATTTGATGGATCCGAACGTGGAGATCGATTGGCGTTGTAAAATGTCACATTTAAAATATACCGCAAAGACGGCACATATATTTTAAATTAATACGCTCCAATTGTAACTAGTTGCCTCGGAAACTTTAGCTTCTGAGCTAACCATTACAAACTATGTGTTGAGTGCCCTGTAGTCGCCGCACGGTCGCCAGCCGTCGACCTTCTTACGAGCGAGGTGAAGAGGTGAGGACCACGAACTTTCGAATCTTCGAGCGGTGCCGTTCTGTAGCATTTCTTCGGATTCCTTTTTAGCAATTTGGAGTCTCTCTGGGTCAAGACGTCGCAGACGGCTAGTTACTGGCGGACCCGGGGTTATGTATGCTTAGGATCAACGTGTTTACCAGCTGGACGAGTAATATCAGGATACTGGCGTAATAGGTCGTGGTATCTCGTACCTTCGTGGCTCAGTACTGTGTGAACGGATTGTACGGATTGTAGTTCGTCGATCCGTCCCTGGTGTGGTGCTGTGACAAAAAGTGATGTGAGTCCGTCGAGTAGCCTTTTGTTTCTGCGATCGACTAGCAGGTTATAAAAGCTGAGAAAGTCTACTCCAATAATCGGCTTTTATACATCAACTATGACGAAACGCCATCGGAAGTCTCTTCGAAGGCCTAGGTCCAAGTGTAAGTTAACGTACCCGTAAAGCAGCAATTGTTGTGCCATTCGCTGCGTATAATTCGTATTTTGTTTTGGCTTGTACAAGAATTCGTATTGCTGTACGTGGGTAAACGCATAAGTCCGACCCTGTATCGACCAGGTACTGCACCTTACTTTTTCGCTCTACGACGAAGATTCGGCCTGGTGACGCGGGACAACCGGTTGAGGCCACTAGCGGTTTCCCTCGGAGTTTTCCGAGGCGTAGCTGCACGGTTGTCTACACTTCTTTGCCTTATCTCTAAACTCAAAGTGGTACCAGCAGTGTGGATGGTCATCTGGTCGTTGCCGTGTTTGAGTTCTGGATCTGGAGCGTATGTGGCGCGAGTTTGACCTGGAACGGATGTCGCGTCTTCCATGTTGTCTGCCACGGCGGCTCTATATATTTACTTGCCTCGACAGCGCTTCTATGCGTAGCTCTAATGTAGAACTAGGTGTACTTGTCGAAGTAGTCCTTGATCCGGCGCTGGCTATTACGGGTGTTGTCGGTTGCACTATGTCCACGATGCGGTCGGCAAGCTCGGCTGCGCCTTCGAGGTCCAGCTTTGGTTGTGATGCTACAACAGTCTGTATGTTTACAGGTAACCGACTGGTCCACACCGTCCGCAGAAAGTCGCTTGGAATATCCGGTCCGGCCAAGTACTGCAGATGCTGCAGAAATTGGCTCGGTTTTCTGTCTCCCAGCTCCTCGTGTTGCAGCAACTGTAGCGGTTTTTTTTTCTCTGGACACGGTTATTCGACGGATTAGCTGCTCTTTAAACGTTTTGTATTTATCCGTAAGCGGTGGTGCAGTTAGGATGTCTTTCATCACCCTTGCGTACTCCTGGTTGAGCTGTGATGATACCGTGTGGTACATGGTACTGTCGCTAATAATGCCAGCGAGGGCAAATTGGCCTTCGACCTGCGCAAACCACACCTCCGGATCTTCAGGGCAGAAGGGCGGCACTCGAACAGACACTCGGCTCACCTCTGAGTTCGGCCCTGTGCTATCTCCGCTACCGCCGGCCGGTCCGCCGGTATCTTCACTAGTTGACGCGCTGCTCTTATCCTTTTTCGAAGCCACGATGCACTCGTGATCACGTCGGGGTCACCAATTGTAGCGGGTTTATATTTAGGTATCAACCCACTAACTGTCGATACGTTTGTAGCGACTTAGCTGAGACAGTCTGTGTCGAGTCGTCGCACAATAAACAGGTTGCAAACTGTCGTGTCTTATTAATAATTATCACCCTGCATAATATCTCACATGCTCATATAAGCACAGACTCAATGTAGCAAACCTACATTAATGTCATTCATTCTAAATCATTCACTAGGTCTTAAACCAGTCATAATTTTCAGTCACAAAATTCGTTTCCATCGCTGTGCCTGTAAAAACCTTTGTACTTTCTATAAATATCAATAAACACCCAGTAATAGTGATAAAGTGTTTATATTTCACAAGAACCACAAAACCTACAGTCCACTCAGTTAGTTCAACATCAAACATGGTCCTTACGAGCCGTAAATAAGTGAAATACAAGGAGTGCAACGACACGTGGTTTTCAACATTCGTGCCACGAGTCATCACACTACTCGCACGAATTGGTACAGCAGCGATTCTGCCGCTTCGAAGCTGCTTCTGGTGGATCATACTTGGGCCAATCGAGCATTCATTTGTTGGACCAACAACCTCAATCAGCATCAAGAAAGAAGCAAAGCGGTCGGCCATTTTGTCTTGTTCGACAATACA